TACCATGTCCTATTCCAGCAGTCTCCAATGGCTGACCTGTTGCTATGTCCTATTCCAGTTCATGAATATTCTGACAAGCTTAAAATAGGTGGATCCTGATTCAAGTCCAGCACTTACCAGCAATTTTGGGTCAAGCATAATCCCTCAGCACCAATTAACTGGAAAAGACTAACATGGATATGTTAATCTAACAAACGAAATTAATTGCTTCTAATGAGTGAATAATTTCAGGCACAAGCACTTCTATTTATTTATTACACATAAGTATCAACCAATAATTACCTCTACTCCTAACTAATTACTTTAGCTCTATCTTTTCATTAGAGAAAAGGGTTGTTGAAAGATGTACAGTATATACATTTATTTCTTTAGTAGGGATTATAGGCATAATCCACAGAGTCCTCAAGACAATTTATAAAACACTTTCCAATAAGAGGATTAAAAACAGTACATCAAAATGACAAAAGACAAAACAGCTAATTATGATGGCAACAAACTGGTACCAGTGGAATACACAAAAGTAGCCCATATTGTAGCCATTCTCCTCAAAACTAAACACTCACAGACATCCCGCCTTAAGCTTTTGAAATAACCAGCAGCTTCACATCTTCTTGGAATACTAATATAGAAAAAAATATTTTTAGAGTTGGAGGCTGCTACTACCTCTGCTGCTATTCTATTTAAGAGATCTACTCAAATTTAGCCACACACTGTAGGATAGAATACCTCTTCTAAAATATTACTGGGTACTAAAAGTGTAAACTTTAAAAGTACACAAAAATACTACTCCCCCCTGTAGAAAGTTAAAACCCACCCCTCTTCTAAGAAAATGAAATATTTTAGGAAATATTAAAAGAGCAGAATATTTCTCCTAAAAGGGAGGCAGAAACTCAGCTTCCCCCCCCCCCACTTTGTCAATGGGCCATTAAGGCCTGAGTCAGTCTATTCTACATAACAAAGATCTATCTCCTTCAGGCAGAGCCATAATAGGAATCCCAAAGCCCTTTCATTACATCATCACCCAGCAACAGCTCAACCAAGCTTGGGACTCAAAAGACAACCTACAGAGTTGTCCCTGCATGGCCCCAGGGGAGTCTGACAACCAATCAGAATACAAACTCAAATTTAATAGCCCAGAGAGGGCATAAAACTCTCAGCATCTCTTCCCCTTTTTTTCTTCAAGATCTTCAAGGAATGTGATCCGCTTTTTCCCCAGGACCTCAAACCATGTGATCCTGTCCACCATTAAAACCATCTTTCCAAGCAGCCTCCATGTTTCCGGTGTCTTTCTCCCCACTTGGAACTGAACCCAGATGGACATTTCTTACAACAAACACACACCCCCAGTTTTTTTTTTTATTTAGATGAACATGGAATAATATATAAGATGAACATCATTAAATGCTTGCTACTCAATGACTTCATAATGAGGCCTAGGCTTCGAGGCTCATGATTTAATTGAGGGATCGGTGGGAATCCTGACATCAGGATTTTCATCTCCTTCCAAAATAAAGCTAGAATTTTGGAGGATTTTTTTTTAAGTATGTGATTAAAGTACCAGAAATATGTAGACTTTGTTGATACATTATCAAATAATGGCACATGAATTATTGAAGAAAAATGAATTTAAAAACATTTGCGGTAATTTATTAATATAAATTCTAGTTGTATTATTTGTTTCTCTCTCCCCATGACAGCTTGTGTTACCTAAGGAAATAGGTTTTTTTGGTCATTTTATCATTCTTGTATGTAGGTATTACTAGCTTAGTTGTCTTTGATAAAGTTTCTCATTAGTACCAGTCATCTTTGATCTGTGGAACTCAGGGGAAAAAAAATAGGTTTTGTGTCCCAAACACTTAATCATGCAACCAGTAATGATACATGATGTATATAACCAAGTGTTGTGTGTGCGGGTTGCTCTGATAATAACTATCATGCTGGATCTAGTATCTGCTTAGAGGACAAGACTAAAGTCCGGAATAGTATAAATAGCTGTCAGGCAGCGCTGTCCAGGGCGCGTGTTCTGAACTGTCTGTTTTGAGTTGCTTCTGTTAATAAAGTTCAGTCATTTACCTCAGCGCCTCCTCGTATCAAAAACCTGGTGACAAGGATGAGCGACGTCGACCCAGTGCACGTCCTGGCCATTGCTGCCGCTTCTTCTTTCTTGCCTTTCCGTCCTGAGGCAGAGAGTTGGGATGCCCTCCTGGAAAGATTCAAAATCTTCCTTCAAGCCCATGGGCTCACTGATCTTCCTGAGGGACGAAAGAGAGGGGTCTTCCTCCCCTATTGCAGGGTGGAAATGTTTGCCACTGCCCACGCCCTCTCAGCTCCTTCNGTTGCCCAGACTCCACCCCGCAAGGGATGATGGGGTCATTAAAAGGAGACGAATCAATCAGAATAGAGCTGGAAGGGACCTCGGAGGTCTTCTAGTCTAGAAGAGAGAGTGATGCGGTGGCCTAGAGGTGGGGATCTCGCCTCACAATCAAGAGGCTGTGAGTTACACACACACACAGACACACAAAACAAAACAAACCTGGAAAACTCTTGAAATCCCTTTGATTCTTGGAAACCCAAAGAGGGAACCAAATGCAAATCTATTCCTATTTTTCAAGCACGGACCGAAGGGATTAGATACGTATCTGTGGGCACACCTTGGCTTTAAATCCACGCTCTTCACTAACTTTTCACCTGTCTGCTCCGTTATGACAAATAACTGGGAAATCTTTCAAAAATTCCCCAATGCGAAATCCGGTTGCATCACAAAACGGGAGGGGAAATTCCAGGAGTTAAAAGTGATTTATCGCAAAGAGAAACTTCCTTTAAAACCAGATCTTTTGGGGTGTTGTTCCATAGTGCTAGAGGGGTGGGGTGGGGGATATAAATTAGGAACAATAAAAGCTACTCAAATTGGACTAGAAACTTTATTTGCCCTGTACTGGGAAAGGTCAGATGCCCACAGGCAAAGCTATCCAGTTGTCAACCTATTCAGTAAATGAAATTTATGCTGCTTTTGAGCCCGTAGGGCAGATTGAGTAAACTATATGTAGTCCTTGATTTACGGCCCACAATTGAGCCCCAGATTTCTGCTGCTAAGTGAATCATTTAAGTGGGCTTTGTCCCATTTTGCGACCGTAATTGTTAAGCGAATCACTGCAAAAGGGGGAATCACGTGACCCCGGGACACTGCGACCGTGATAAATAATTGAGTTGCCATGCGGCTCAATTTTGATCACATGACCCTGGGGGGTGCTGCAACAGTCGTAAGTGTGGAAAATGGTCACAAGTCGCTTTTTTCAGCCCCGTTGTAACTTCGGTCGCTAAACAGTTGTACGTCGAGGATTACCTGTAGTAAATAAACATTTTTTTAAAAAAATCCTAGCCATCGACACATAGAGGTAAATCACGTTTACACACCCTTCAAAAGAGTCATTTTTAAAAAAAAAGTCAGCTTGGGAGGGGTGCATCTTACAGGCGAATGTGATTTATGACACAGACTGCGGGAGGGAAGGAACAGGGGTAAAGCTCAGAAGAACATCAAACGAAGCACAGGCTTAGCTGCGAACAGATATTGCCTAATGGAGCGCCTAATAAATCACTGGTTTTGTATTAAAACCTTGGCTCGATAATTATGAATCGATTAGGGCATCTTTAGGAAATTTGACACCTGCCTTTGCTCTGTCCTGCAGGAAGCATTGAGTACAGCTGCCCGGCCACCAACGAGTGTGAAATCACCAAACGTCGGCGGAAAGCGTGCCAGGCGTGCCGTTTCACCAAGTGCCTGCGCGTGGGCATGCTGAAGGAAGGTAATTTTGGCGGGGAAGGGGGCTTAAATCTCAACGAGGGGTCGACCAATGGATCATTTTTCAGCTTCCTTAGGAAGCTTGGCATGGAGTGAAGAATGCTGGGAATCCTAGTTCCACTTAGTTCGTACCGCCCGCTGCCCAGGGGCATTCTGGGAGGAAGCTCTGAAAAACTTGAGCAGGGGGTTGGACTAGGGGACCTTCGGGGTCTCTTCCAACTCTGTCATTCTGTACGCTTCGCCCTCATTCACCGGTCATTAAGCAAAGCTGTTGCTAAGTCAAACTGCAGCTGTGCGGACAATCTTATTTTGACTGTTTACAGACCTACGAAGGGCGTGAATGTGAGGATGGGTTGAAAAGTTGCTTTTCCATATTTGGAACGGTCCACTAAATGTGGCGGTCGCTAAGTGAGGACTGCCTCGTTAAATGGGATCGGTTTTTAATCCACCTCACTTATGTGGATTAAACTGTTTTTAGGCGAAGTTCTAACTTTTGGCCTATTGAAACCCAAACCATGATATTGATGATACACTGAATTAAGACCAAAAGAGAAGTATTGAAAACGATATTAGATTAGATTAACAGAGTTGGAAGGGACCTTGGAGGTCATCTAGTCCAAGCAGGGGACCCTACACCACTTCTGACACATNTGATAAATAAATAAAGGGAGACTAGTATAGATCTATAGCTGATGAGAGCTAAATAGCTTGAAATAGATCTATACTAGTCTCCCTTTATTTATCAGCACAAATAAACACACACACACACACACACACACACACACCCATATATATTTGCAAAGCAGACCTACTTAGGAGCAGCATTTGGGAGCAAAGGCATGATGGGTAATTATTTGCCCAGGAGAAAAGCAAAGAAAAACTTTGAGCAAAAGAAATAGGAATATTGCTTCCAGATATGTGAGGGTTTTAGAAGCAGAGGAATGGGAGGAGGGGAAGAGAAAGAATTTTGAAAAAAAAAAACAAGCACAAACTGCTACAGGTAGTCCTTGATTTATGACCACATGGATCCGGATCTCCCATTGCTAAACGATGCAGTTGTTAAATGAGTTATCCCATAACTCTGGCTGGTTTTATAATCATCTTTTTTTGCTGCTGCTGCTGAAGAAAGTCATATGTTAAGACCAGTTTCCCAACAGACCTGCTCAACACCCATCCTACGACTCTATCAACATCGGGAAGACTGCATTTAAGCATTCAGATTTATTTACATAACACAAAACCAACAATAATGCAGAAACTGTTGCAAGGAAGTCAATAGTTCTCCTCCTCCATCCCTCTGGACTTTCTTCTAGTGCCTTTTTGATAGCAGAACAGCTCATGTCTCATCTTCACTTAGCAACATGTTGGGTATACCCTTAGTAATGGGAAATTCCCGCCCGGTATCCGGACATTTTAGAGTACCTTCGATCACTTCCACCTAAACAATGAAAAAAAAAATGGAATCGGTGGGGAAGAAAAATAAAGTAAGAAAAGGGGGGAAAAAGAAGGAAGGAAGGAGAGGAAGGAAGGGAAAAAAGGAATGGAAAGGAGAAAGGAAAGAAAGGGGGAGGGAGGGAAGGAAGGGAGGAAGGAAAAAGGAAAGAGGAGGGGAAAGGAAATGAGGAGAGGAGAGAAAGAAAAAAAAGGAAAGGAATGGAAAGGAGAAAGGAAAGAAGGGGAGGGAGGGAAGGAAGGAAAAAAGAGGAAGGGGAAAGGAAAGGAAGGAAGGGAAAAAGGAAAGGAATGGAAAGGAGAAAGGAAAGAAGGGGAAGGAGGGAAGGAAAAAAGGAAAAGGGAGGGGAAAGGGAAAGAAAAACAAGGAAAGGAATGGAAAGGAGAAAGGAAAGGAATGAAGGGGAGGGAGGGAAGGAAGGAAAAAAGGAAGGGGAAAGGAAATGAAGGAAGGGGAAAAAAGGAATGGAAAGGAGAAAGGAAAGAAGGGGAAGGAAGGAAGGAAAAAAGGGGAAAGGGAAAGGAGAAACAGGTAAGGAATGGAAAGGAGATAGGAAAGAAAGAAGGGGAGGGCAGGAAGGAAGGAAAAAAGAAGAAAGGGAAGGGGAAGCAGAAAGGAAAGGAGGAAAGGAGGCAAGAATAGAGGAGAGAAAGGAAAAAAAGAAAAGGAATGGAAAGGAAAGAAAGTGGGGGGAGGGAGGGAAGGAAGGAAGGGAAAAAGAAAGGGGAGGGGAAGAAGAGGAAAAAAGGAATGGAAAGGAGAAAGGAAAGAAAGTGGGGGGAGGGAAGAAAGGAAGGAAAAAAGAGGAAAGGGGAGGGGAAAGGAGAGGAGAGGAAAAAAGGAATGGAAAGGAGAAAGGAAAAGAAAGGGTTCCAAACCTCCATCAAGACATGATGCACTTTCCGAAGAAAATCTTCATTTTTCTCGTAGTCGGGGATGAGCTCGGAGGGAAGATCTGAGCGGTGACCCAACTGGAAAGGAAGAAAGATCTGCTATCATTTTCAACCGCTGGCTGGGATGGTCTCCTCCCAATAAGCCTCAAAGAGCCACCTCAACTGCCATGCATAAACAAATGCCCTGGGCAACTGGCAAATATAGGAAATATGAAAAAAGATGCCCACGTTTGAAAAATGCCAGGCGAGGGGTGGGGATATAACCCCCAGCTGCCTGGGGGAAGAAGGAAGAGCTGGATCGCTGTTTTCTCTGCCTTCTTCCTCCGGCACCCCAACACCTGCCGAGGACTTACACTCTCAGCCGCGCCCACCAGAGCTGCCCATTCAATTTTGGGCACCATCCGTGCCGTGAACTGGGGGTTGAAATCGATATCGTTCACTTTCACCTCTGTAGCCTGTAGGCAGAAAAGAGAGAAAAATCAGTGGAACAGAAGTTGCCTCCAGAAGTTGTAGATGCTCCAACACTGGAAGTTTTAAAGAAGATGTTGGATACCCATTTGTCTGAAGTGGTGTATGGTTTCATGCCTAAGCAGGGGGTTGGATTAGAAGACCTCCAAGGTCCCTTCCAACTCAACTTTATTCTAGAAGATATACTATACGAGTCAAAAAGAAGGATGTGAAAATAACTACAGACCCCTCACATCCTGGACATAAATTATTTCAACTTCTACCTTCAAAATGACACTCTAGGGCATATTGTTTTATTTGTTTCCTAGTATAATTTGATTGCTTTTAGTAACCTATGACTTTCACTAAGTCTTTCACTTATGATTCTTGATGAATGTATTATATTTTATTTTTTTCTTTATGTACACTGAGGGCATCTGCACCAAAGACAAAAGGAATTTGTGTCCAATCACAATTAATAATGGCCAATAAAGAATTGCATTCTATTCCATTCCACCCCATCCTATTCATTCTACTGTCCTCTCCTTCAATTCTATTCTATTCTTTTCTATTTTATTTAATTCTATTCTATTCATTCTATTCTATTCATTCTATTCTATTCCAATTCCATTTTACACTGTATTTTATTCCAATTCCATTTTAAATCGTATTTTATTTCAATTCCATTTTAAATCATATTTTATTTCAATTCCATTTTAAATCATATTTTATTTCAATTCCATTTTAAATNAGAAAAAAGGAAAGGAAAGGAAGGGGAAAGAAGAAAGAAAGAAGGAAAAAAGGAAGAAAGGAGAAAAGGGAGGAAGGAAGAAAGGGAGGGAGGGAAAGAAGGAAAAGAAAGGAAAATGAAAGGAAGGAAGGGGAAAGAAAGAAAGAAAGAAAGAAAGAAAGAAAGAAAGAAAGAAAAAAGGTGAAAGAAGAAAAGAAGGAAGGGAGGGAGGAAGGAAGAAAGAAAAAAGGAAGGAAGGAAGGAGAAAAGGGAGAAAGGAAGAAAGGGAGGGAGGGAAAGAAAGAAGAGAGAGAAAGAAAAGGAAAGGAAGGGAAAAAAGAAAGAATGGTGAAAGAAGAAAAGAAGGGAGGAAGGAAGAAATAAAAAAGGAAGGAAGGAAAGGAGGAAGAAAGAAAGAAAGGAATCAAAGTGCATAAATAAATCAAGAAATAACTTCATTTTCTTTTACATCAACATTACTTTTATTTTTCTCATCAAACCCACCTATCATAATTTCATTTATTCTCCCGTCTCTCCCTCCCTTCCTCCCTCCCTCCCTCCCTCCCTATCTCTCTCTCTCTCTCTCTCTCTCTCTCACACACACACACACACACACACACACACACACACGCACACAAGGGGACTTGGCCCATCCTTCTCTCTTCCTTGACTTTTCCCCTTTCTCCTCCCTTTCTCTATTCCTTTCTGTTCGTTTTTCTTCCTCTCTTTCTACCGGGAGAAATCCAATCCCTTTCTCTTCTCTCTTCCTTCGGATGACCAGCACCAATGAACACGATGGTGTCCCACTTGTTGGTCGCCGAACCGGAAAAACTCTACGCCATGCCCGACCCGGCGCTTCCCGAGGGCCCCGCGAAAGCCGCAAGCACGTTGTGTGATCTGGCCGATCGGGAAATTGTGGTTATCATTGGCTGGGCCAAAAATATACCAGGTAACCCACGAAATTTTTCATCCGTGCCCATCGCTCTCTCTTCTTGATGGTAATCTGCTTTCCTAGACCAGCCGCCCCCCTCAGGGCTGTTGTTCTGAGGAGGACCAAACACAGACAGTCCCCAGACTTATGACATTTCTCGCTTAGCGATGATTGCCTATAAATTGGCCCTTTAATCAAAAAATGATTTATGACCCTTTTTCACACTTAGGCAGCCCAGGTCAAACGATCAAAACTCGCATTTACGACGGTTGCAGTGTCCTGGGGTCGCGTGACTCCCCCTTTTGTGACCGTCCTGACCACCGGAGTCAACGCAAAAAAAACCAGATTCGTTTAACAACCGTGTGACTCACTTAACAACTGGAGCGATTCATTGAACAAGCGTGGCAAGAACGGTCATCAATGAGGCCCAACTCACTGAGCGACTGTCTTGTTTAGGGACAAAAATGCTGGGCTCATTTGTGGTCGTACGTCGAGGACCACCTGATATTTGCCCCTGAATTTAAACCGCCATTCCTGGTTTGCTTCTCCCGGCTCAGGGTTCCCAGCATTGTCTTTGGCCGATCAGATGTCCGTCCTTCAAAGCGTCTGGCTGGAAGTTTTACTCCTTGGCGTCGCCTGGCGCTCGCTGCCTTGTGAAGATGAGATTGTGTTTGCGGAAGATTTTGCGCTCGACGAAGAGGCGGCCCGGACAGCGGGGCTGTTGGAGCTGAGCAGTGTCGTCCTCCAGCTGGTGCGGAAATACCGGGCGCTGCGCTTAGAGCGCGAGGAATATGTGCTGCTGAAGGCCTTGGCCCTTGCCAACTCAGGTGAGCTCAGAGAAGAGGTAACTTGTCTAGCTAGAAACCAGGAGACAGGGAGTTCTAGTTCCGTTTTAGGCATGAAAGCCCGCTGGGTTAACTGGGACTAATCACCAGGAGACAGGGAGTTCTAGTTCTAGTTTAGGCATGAAAGCCCGCTGGGTTAACTTGGGCCAATCACCAGGAGATGGTGAGTTCTAGTTCAACCTTAGGCATGAAAGCCCACTGGGTTAACTGGGACTAATCACTAGGAGACAGTGAATTCTAGTTCCATTTTAGACATGAAAGCCCGCTGGGTTAACTGGGACTAATCACCAGGAGACAGTGAATTCTAGTTCCATTTTAGACATGAAAGCCCGCTGGGTTAACTGGAACTAATCACTAAGAGACAGTGAATTCTAGTTCCACTTTAGGCATGAAAGCCCGCTGGGTTAACTGGGACTAANAGAATAGAATGGAATGGAGAAGAGAAGAGAATGGAATGAAGAATAGAACAGAACGGAATAGAATGGAATGAAGAAGAATAGAATAGAATGGAATGGAATAGAACAGAATAGAATAGAACAGGAACGGAACGGATAATTGAACAGAACAGAATAGAACAGAACAGAATGGATAATTGAACAGAATAGAATAGATAATTGAACAGAATAGATAGTAGAACAGAATAGAATAGATAAACTAATCCTTATCCAACAGCCCTGATCACGTTACCTACTTTGGGGTCCTGAAACTTTGGCAAGAAAACATCCAAGCCCAGAGAGCACCAAGGTCCTCTCGTGATTTTGGACTACAAGTCCCATCGGGCTGTACCTGGCCAAGGCTAGGAATGGGAGGACTGGACAAGATGCCAAGCGAAGCATGATTAAATAAAATAAAAGTAGACCAAGCTTGCAACGACTGATACATTCATTTATATGATATCCCAAAACAATTGCAATTCCCAAACGGATGCAGTGCCTAGCCTGATCGATTGCAATTCCCAATTATTATTATTATTTTTTGCAAAAAAAAAAAACATGTTTAAGAATGCAATAAAATAAAACAATTGCATTCCTAACCTTTCCTCTTCCTCCCCCCGCCCCCCGGGAAGCAAAACCTCCCACCCGCTCCAGGGCGCGTGCACGGTCGGGCGCGCGCGCGCAAGGAAGCCCCAGGCAGCCCAGAGAGGAGGAGGAGGGGGGTGGGGGGGTGGCCCGCAAACTTCAAAAGGTTGCGCGTTGCCATGGCTGCTGTCACTCCCGGGATTACCATGGCAACGGGGTGGAACCGGACGGGGGCGCTGGGGCGAGCCTGTTGGGGAAGTGGGGCGGCTTGCTTGCTTGCAAACCGCGGGGTGACCCGGCGGGCCTTTGCTTCGGGAGCCGCGGCCATGGCGGCCCTTAAGGTGAGTGCAAAAGAAAACCGAATAAAAACCCAACGCAAAGGGGCATTGCTGGTTGTGCAATTTTGCACGCCTGTTTTTTTGGAGGGGGGGGAGGGTTGGCTTCTTGGTTTGCAAACAGCTGGGTTGCAAAAAATAAAACAAAACCCCGTGCAATGACCTCCGCAGAGGGTTAGAAAGCGCCCTCCTTTGCAAAGTCACCGTCGTGCAAAGGGGTCAGTGCAAAAGGACACTGTCAGTCGTGTCATTTGCACGCTTGGGGGAGGGGGGGGTCCGCCTACTGATGTGCCAACACCTTGGCACCCCCGTGCAATGACCTTGAACTGGGCTTTGCAAGCCCCTTTCCTTGTTAAAGTCCCCCCCTTGCAAAGGAGCACGGCTAATGGTGTAATTTGCACGTTTTGGGGTTCTCCCCCCCTCCTCATCTGTCAACAGCTGGGTGCAAGGACACCCCCCAAAAAAACCAAGGGTGCTGATTGAGTGATAAATGACAGGAATGCCATACTTGGTTTGATTTGATGCAATGCTAGGTGGTTGCATAAATTGGGTTGCAAATCTTGCCATATGTTGGCTACTCGGCATAGCTAAGCCAGAATGTAGTTTCGTTCCTTTCTTTACAGATTAATGTATAGAATGACTTATTCCATTCTCATGAACCAGCCTATTTCAAAATGTAACCTGTAATTTATATGCAGGCAGTCCTCAACTTAACAACAGTTCTTCTATTGAACGAAGTTACAAACAGCACAAACAGATAAGAGACAGCCGAGCCCTTGGCTTCATAATATACAGGCTCAGAAGGGACCCTCCCTAGTTTCTCAGGCTGTACAGGAGGGGGCTATAATAGTATGTGTGAAAGACCTTGAGGGATGGATGAAAAGATGCCAAGGGAAGGGTCAGATAAGAGACGGTTGAGCCCTCAGCTACATAATGGGTGGAGAAAGAGTTTCAGAAGAAACCCTCCCTAGTTTCTCAGGCTGTAAAGGAGCTGGCTGTAATAGTATGTGAAAAAGATCTTGAGGGATGGATGAAAAGATGCCAAGGGAAGGATCAGTAAGAGACGGTTGAGCCCTGAACTACATAAATAGAGGAAGTGGTTCAGAAGGGACTCTCCCCTCAACTGTCTTGGGATGTAAAGGAAGGGAAGGAGAATCTAGATCTATGAAAAGAGTTCAGAGGGGTGCAGGTATGTGGGAAAGACCTTGAAAGACAGAGCAAAGGAACAGCCAGATAAGAGACAGCTTAGCCCTCAGATGTATAACAGGCAGTGTCAGCATTCCAAATATCATCCAGAATTAAATCAGGGTCCAAGGCAGACCTTTCCTCAAAGTTCCAATTTAATAAGACAGACGTGTTGGTACCTGAATCTGAAAGCTTCCTGGGTTTTCCACCCAGTTGAAAGTTCATGATCCTGTCCCCACACCCACAAGTCCATCACATGGTCTAATCTTCCACTGCCACACTGGCATTTCCACCCATCTAGTTCCGGTCAGGTGCAGAGATGCGGAGACAAAGAATGACCTTGGGCTTCTAGAAGAGAGTGTTTTATTTTGACAACAACACATTCTGCTCCTTACTATTCCCCCTCCCAATTACCCCACTAATGAAACAAAATAGAAAAATAATAGAGATCCTAAAAGGAATATGACTGCGGGCCAAGAAACTCAGAAGGGACCCTCCCTAGTTTCTCCGGCTGTAAAGGAGATGGCTGTAATACTATGTATGTAATTAGCGACCATTTAAAGTTACAACAGGACTGAAAAAAAGCTACTTATGACCATTTTTCACACTTGCAACCCATTGCAGCATCCCCATGGTCACAACCCATACACATTTACGACGGTTGCCGTGTCCCGGGGTGACGTGATCCCCTTTTGCGACCTTCTGACAAGCAAAGTCGACAGGGAATAGCAATAGCAATAGCAGTTTGACTTATATACCGCTTCATAGGGCTTTCAGCCCTGTCTAAGCGGTTTACAGAGTCAGCATATCGCCCCCACAGTCTGGGTCCTCATTTCACCCACCTCGGAAGGATGGAAGGCTGAGTCAACTTTGAGCCGGTGAGATTTGAACCACCGAACTGCAGTTAGCAGTCAGCTGAAGTGGCCTGCAGTACTGCACTCTCACCACTGCGCCACCTCTGCGCCAGATTTGCTTAACAGCGGGGTTACCCACTTAACAACTGAAGGGATTTCCCTTGATGATTGTGGGGTAAAACTCCCTTAACAAATGTTTCGCTCAGCCACGTAAATTTTGGGGCTTCGGTTGTGGTCGTAAGTCCAGGACCAGCTGTAGAAAGGAAAAAGAGTATGAACGGAAGTTTATACTTCCGTTTATAACGACGGGGGGAATTCTGGGAATTGAAGTCGCGCTGTTTTCTTTTGACAGGTTGGAGACAAGCTGCCCAACGTGGAGGTTTACGAAGGAGACCCATCCAACAAAGTGAACATCTCCAGCCTCTTCAAGGGGAAAAAGGGGATTCTTTTTGGGGTGCCCGGTGCCTTCACCCCTGGTTGTTCCAAAGTAAGTAAGCATCTACTTTAGATTCCTCCGGAATTGAAAATTTGAAGTCGGAGGCAGTTCGGGGAGCACTGTAAAACCTGAAAACAAAGTTTACACGAGGACTATCTATAATTTATTTTTTGTTTTTTTGTCTCCAATGATAGACACATCTACCTGGGTACGTGGAGAAAGCAGGACAGCTGAAGGGGAAAGGAGTGGAGATCATTGCTTGCTTGGCCGTTAACGATATCTTTGTGATGAACGAATGGGCAAAGGCTCACCAAGCTGAAGGAAAGGTAAAAAATAAATAAATTGGGGGTGGGTGGGTAGGATAGGAGATTCCCCACCCCACACCCCTGTTTAATTTTTCCAAGCCACAAAAGCAGGTACATCAAATGATTCTCAACCTTAGGAATTTTAAGAGGTGCTGGGACTTCAACTCCCAGAATTCCCCAGCTGAGAATTCTGGGAGTTTTGCAGCCAGCATGCTGGGGAATTCTGGGAGTTGAAGTCCATCCATCGCAAAGCATGCTAGCTAGGGAATTCTGGGAGTTAATATCCACTGATCTTAAAGCATTTTGGTGAGGGGAGGGTGTCAAAGTTCACTCATCTCAAAGCATGCTGACTGGAGAACTCTGGGAGTTGAGGACCACCCCTCTTAAAGCATGCCGGCTGGGGGATTCTGGAAGTTGAAGTCCACAGTTTTTAAAGCATGCTCGCTAGGGGATTCTGGGAGTTGAAGTCCACCATCTTAAAGCATGCTGGCTGGGGGATTCTGGGAGTTGAAGTCCACCCATCTTAAAGCATGCCAGCTGGGGGATTCTGGGAGCTGAAGTCCACCCATCTTAAAGCATGCTGGCTGGGGGATTCTGGAAGTTGAAGTCCACCACCTTAAAGCATGCTGGCTGGGGGATTCTGGAAGTTGAAGTCCACCCATCTTAAAGCATGCCAGCTGGGGAATTCTGGGAGCTGAAGTCCACCATCTTAAAGCATGCTAGCTGGGAGATTCTGGGAGTTGAAGTCCACAGATTTTAAAGCATGCCGGCTGGGGGATTCTGGGAGTTGAAGTCCACCATCTTAAAGCATAATGGCTGAGGAATTCTGGGAGTAGAAGTCCACCACCTTAAAGCATGCTGGCTGGGGGATTCTGGGAGTTGATGTCCACCCATCTTCAAGTTGCCATGTTTGAGCCACCCGTTGTTTTGAAGATGTGAGTAACAGCAGGGAAGATCTAGGGAGCCTGAAAATGGAAATACTTGTCAACCAGATCCATTTCATTTTGCTCTTTGCGAGATTATGCAAGATTCCTTTTGCTCCTCAGGTTTATATAACCGAATATGATTCATAATTCATCGGGCGGTTGCCAGATGTCACAGATGGGAAGTTTCAGAGAAACACTCTCTTGGCAACTTGGTTGATATCAACCTTCCCACCCACCACCTACTTTCTCTTTTCGTTCTCTTTATGTACACATTCTGGAATTTATTTGCAGCGAGATTTATTTCCTTCCTTCAGAGTAGAAACCCGACAGAAGTCTGCAAAAAATGCTGCCAAATTATCATTCTTCATGTGCCAGAAAGGGAGAAAAATATGTTTTTCTCCCCTATTGGCTTGATGTTTTTCAGAGATATCGGTTGTAACTGTCTTAATTTTCTGCCGACACCTTCATTGTTGTTGTTAGTTGCGAAGTCGTGTCCTCCTCATCGCAATCCCGTGGACAAAGTTCCTCCAGGCCCTCCTATCTTCTACCATCCTCTGGAGTCCATTNGTCTGCGATGACATCTGGGCAGGTGAGCGGAGCCTCCCACCAACGGCGCTACTGGTTCGCCCAAACCGGATAGAACCGGCTGAATTTTACCACTGGAATCATCCTTCCTAGCGATTCCCCTTTGACACCTGGGGTTTGAAGTCAGAACATCTGGAGCTACGTCGGTCCAGATGAGGAATGGACAAACTCATGCTTGAGAAGAACGAAACAATGACAATGGGGTACGTAACGTTCCTTTCTAATTATTCATGCATTTATTTGAGAGCCAGTTCAGTCCGGGGGTTAAGGCACCACGCTGGAAACTAGGAGGCAGTGAATTCTAGTTCTGCCTTACACATGAAAGTCACCTGGGTGACTTTAGGTCAATTGCTAGGAAATAGTGAGTTCTAGTGTTGTCTTAGGCAGGAAAACGGGCTGGGTGACTTTGGGGCAATCACTGGGAGACAGTGAGTTCTAGTGCTGTCTTAAGACATGAAAGTCTCCTGGGTGACTTTGGGCCGATCACGAGGAGAACAGTGAGTTCTAGTCCTGCCTTAGGCAGGAAAGCAGGTTGGGTGATTTGAGCTGATCACTAGGAGACGGTGAGTTCTAGTCCTACCTTAGGCAGGAAAACAGGCTGGGTGACTTTGGGCCAATCACTAGGAGACAGTGAGTTCTAGTTCTGTCTTAGACATGAAAGTCACCTGGGTAACTTTAGGTCAATTACCAGGAGACTATGAGTTCTAGTCCTGCCTTAGTCCCTCCTTTTATCTCCATGAGCTGTTTATAAAAAAAATAATAAAAATAATTATGTAAATAAAATAATGGGATTGATAAGAGTTGTCTACCTCACATTGACTGCAAGATTTTTTGCACAAGCCCAAGCAAATGATCCGTGGATTCTACCCCATCATGCAAACGGATGCAAATTAATTAAGTGCTTCATCACCAAAGGGACAAGCAACCTCTGGCTTCCTTGGGGGAGAGAAAGATGGTTTATTTTTTCCTCTTTTCCTTTCAATCATTTATTTATTTTTGCATGCCCAAAGCCTCTTTTGCTCCCTCCTGGATCTTCTTCTTTCTTCTTTCTTCTTCTTTCTTCTTTCTTCTTCTTCTTCTTCTTCTTCTTCTTCTTCTTCTTCTTCTTCTTCTTCTTCTTCTTCTTCTTCTTCTTCTTCTTCTTCTTCTT